TCGTTTTGCCCGCCTTCCCCCCCCCCCATATTCCACCATCCGGGCAAACTTAGCACCGAATCACGATTTTTTGAAATTTTCGTAGCAAGAGGTGCCCGTTCGTAGTACGCTCTGCCCGAGTCGGGCATGTCTCCCTCGTTTTGTCGGCATTCCCCCATATTGCACTCACCGGGCTAAATTAGCACCGAAACGCGATTTTTTTTTGAAATTTTCATAGCAAGTGGTGCCTATTTGTAGTAGGCCCGCCCCTCGTTTTGCCCGTGTTCCCCACATATTCCACTCACCGGGCTAACTTAGCACCGAATCACGATTTTTTGAAATTTTCGTAGCAAGAGGTGCCCGTTTGTAGTACGGTCTGCCCGAGTCGGGCATGTCTCCCTCGTTTTGTCCGCATTCCCCCATATTCCACTCACCGGGCTAACTTAGCACCGAATCGCGATTTTTTGAAATTTTCGTAGCAAGAGGTGCCCATTTGTAGTAGGCCCGCCCCTCGTTTTGCCCGTGTTCCCCACATATTCCACTCCCCGGGCTAACTTAGCACCGAATCACGACTTTTTGAAATTTTGTAGCAAGAGGTGCCCGTTTGTAGTACTCCCCGCCCGAGATGGGTATGTCTCCCTCGTTTCGTCTGCCAACTGACTGCCCATCGTTCCCCCCATATTTCACTCTCCGTGCTTTTCTGGAACCGGAGGAGAAGTTGGCCGCGCCTCTGTGCATCAATTCCTACGTGAAATATGAGAAGGAGCTGTATGGGAAGCCTACCGAGCTTTCTAGATGGAAATGTGGGCTTTGCAGGGGGGAGGGGATCCTCATGCTGCAGCTGAAGCTGAATTTGAAATGGAAATCCGCGACGGGCGAATTTTTGATACAACTGAGCTTAAGCAAAGATTTTGAGATCATTGGAAAGGGAAACCTACTCTGTCCCAAAACCATGTAGAACTCCATTCTTTATTATGTCTTAACGAAGTTATGGCCTTTGGAAGGTAAAAAAAAACTTGCGTGTGGAGATCAGGGGATCGCAGGGCGCGGCCCTGCGATCTTGGAGTGATCACCCCGCCGGTGGTCAAGAGGGCCAAGGGTCCGCTATAAAAGGGCGGCCCAGTTGTTGAGTGACAGTTCGGTACTCCTCCTGTTGGTCCGGCCAAAACCTCCCGCCGCCGTCTTCGCCGTCGTCGCCGACCAGGATCGCACTCACCGTCTCGTCAACGTCCCAAATTCGCCCACAACGTCAACGCCACCATACTTCATAATATTCTACTTCTACTATTATTACCTGCCTGTAAACTTCACCGCAGATCACTCTGATATCACCGGGCCTTACACTACATGGGGGCCAAGCCAAATCACAGAGATAACTGAGGTGATTACAGTACCAAAGAACCACTGACGCGCCGAATAGAAAGAAAGCGGTTGCTACTGTGTAGTCATATGAGTGACTGCAGGCACAGAGCAGAAAGTGCAGTAACCGTGGAGATGGCTAGGTCAGTGGCCAAGGAGACGGACAGCACCGGAGCAAATGAGATGAGTACCGTCGGTAACGGTAGAGAGATATTAGGTTGTCGCATAAGTTCTTATACACGTGTTTGATCCTCTCCTATTTCGTTCGCATGGATGTTGGTATTACGTCATCACGTGTGCGTGACGTGTACATTATACTCTTTCATTACACTAGCTATCACTCACCGAGCTTGCATTTGCAGTACACAATGTCGCACAATTTGCACTGTGACAAAACGTACCTGCGCCACTGTTTGGTTTTGCTCCACGATTTCGGCTGGAATGCAAAGGAAGCCCATACCAAGCTGGTGGATACATACGGTGAGGACGTCATCTACATGACATGCAAGAATTGGTTCGCCAAATTCAAGAAAGGAGACTTTTCTCTCGAAGATGCTCCGAGGTCGGGTCGGCCGATGGAGTTGGATTTGGAAGTACTACGTTCCACCGTGGAGGAGGACCCGTACCTCACCACCAGAGAAATGGCGACCATGCTTAGCTATGATCATTCGACGGTTGCACGTGGACTAGAAAAGCTCGGCAAGGTAGCAAAGCTTGGTCGATGGTCCCACATGAACTGTCCGCTTATGACCTCTCGAGGAGGGTGACCACCTGCACTTCTCTCCTCACTTTCCAAAAGAGGCTTCACTTTCTCAACTCGATGATCACTGGAGATGAGAAGTGGGTCTCTGTGAGGAAGCGGCAGTGGGTCGACAAAGGAGAACAGCCAGAAGCCACCCCAAAGGCCGACCTTCACCCCAAAAAGGTTCTCCTGTCCTGTTGGTGGTCCAGAAGAGGCATGGAGTACTGGGAGCTGCTGGAGAAGGGACAGACGATTGACGCTTCCACATACGTGACCCAGCTGCGGAAATTGAAAGATCACGTCGACCGTACTCGTGGAAGGAATGCGGAAATCTACTTCCACCATGACAACGCCCGACCTCACACTGCAAAGGCGACCCAGGCCGAGCTGGAGAAGTACGGATGGCTGATGGTCGCCCACCCTCCCTACAGCCCTGACCTCGCTCCTTCTGACTACTGGCTGTTCAGCCACCTGCAGCGCTATCTGGACGGAAAAAAGTTCGAAACAAAGGATCAGGTCAGAAAGGCGCTCGACGACTTCTTCAAGTCCCAGCCTCCGTCTTCTTCAAGTCCCAGCCTCCGTCGTTCTGGAAGGATGGAATCGACAAGCTGCCTGAGCGCTGGCGTCGAGTAGTGAATGGTGATGGTGCATACCTCTAATCTCCAGGCTGGTTCGCTTTTGAGATATTTACAAAAAAGTCGTGTATAAGAACTTATGCAACAACCTAATAGTTACATTGCTGAGAGAAGAGATAGGAAAGGCCCTCGAGGCTGTGAAAGAGATAGGCCCAAGGATCAAAAGTGATCTAGAGGGGCTCGAGTCGCGGCGAAACACAGAGAGGTGGTAGAGAAATCAGTGGCGGATCATATTGAAAAGGCGTGTGAGGCGCTAGAGATAGTGAGGAAGGGCGCGGAGACCCACCTGAGTTTTGGGAGAGCTATTACTATTTCACTACAGGAGAAGGGAATAGAGACGGCAGATGACTGGAATGACTTTCTGAGAGTGGTGGAGAGAGACGGAGAGCTGCTGGGTGAGATCTGCAGCATGCTAAACACTGATGGGTCACAGTTTCGAGACATTGTTGAAAAATTCGAGAGTTACAAGAGAATCAAGCAAAAGAGTTGAGAAGAAACTCACGCGAAAACCAGACAATGCAGTAGTTGGTGGAGTAAGCAGAGCATACCAATGGTGACATGGAGGCGAAGGCCAAGGAGTACAAATGAGAGAACGAGACTCAAGAGGGCTCAAGAAGCAGCACAACATATGGAAGCCTGCGAGCAGTATGAAAGGCCAGGTTCGCCTTACCGAGAGATGGCCATGCAGCGAATGGAAGCAGGGCAGCACTACATGGACAACTTTCTGAGATTTCTGATTTCTGTAAGCAAGTAGTTGCGCTGATTCTGGAGTCTTCCGAGGGAGACCGAACGAGAATGAGTTCTTGCGTAGATTCCGAGAGAAGTACATGCCCCTTGGATACGATGACTGGGCATTGCTAGAAATCCTCGGCGATGACCACCCGGGCCAAGTATGTGTTCATGACGATTCCTCAGGAAATCGTAGAGGATGGATTTGAGGCAGTTGTAAGGGAAATGAGTAGGCTGCTAGCAAATGACACCAGCGGCTAGGATGTGGGGCCTGAACGAGCTAACCTAGGGTTGGGTCCAAATCAGCCTGTCTCAGAGTTTTGCGTCATCCTCAAGGGATTAGCGCAGAAGGCGAATCCCGATTGTAGTATTTCGGATAGGTCTTTAGAATATGCACAGATCCTACTTGATAATGTGAGAGAGTGGCCAGAGCATGTGCAGTTACTGAGTTTGCTGCACAGATCTGATCCAAGGAAGGCTTATAGTGAGATTAAACAATTGGCGATTACGATAGAACAATCAAGAGGAATGTACGGGACGGAGTATAGAGACGTCTCGGCAGGGACGGAGTGGAAGAAAAGGAGAGATGCCTATAGAAGCTTTGAGGAAAACGACAGCGTTACATCGTTGGATAGGCGAAATGAGCTTCAGCATCAGGAAACGTCTTCAGACCAAAAGGAGAAAGATTTCGAAACCCGAAAATGTTTCAACTGCTCAAAAATGGGACACATTGCCAGGAATTGCCCGTTGGGGAGACCTACAGTTAAAAATATAAACGAAAGGAAGACTAGGGCAGATTGCATAAGTGAAATAAAAGCATATCCGATATTGTGCGACGGGCCCAGTCAATGGGTATAAGGACGGAGAAATGTTCGTCCACCACAACCTCGTTGGAGAGAAATTAGCGGTCTGTGTGAACATGTTGGACGAAAGGGTCCTCAGCATTGATACGGGATCAATGATAAGCATCGTCCCGGTTGGGTTGTTGGAAAGAGCACAGAATAAAGGGTTGGACGTCGATGCTCTTGAGGTGATCAGCAAAGCACTTGCTCCTGTTCTTGATGCATCCAACAACCAAATGAAGTTCCTAGGGAGCAGTCATAGCTGCAAACATTGAAGGCGGAGAAGAATCGGAGGTGGCATTCTACATATCGAGAGAAAGGGGACGAGAAGTACTGCTGGGAACAAATGCATCAAGATCTAGGGGTTGAAATCAAGTTACCGCAACCAGCAGCACCTTCTTTACGAGAAACACCAGGCACAGAAACATAGGCGAGGTACAAAGCTCGTGCGTACTTGATGGCTCTAAGGTGATGTCAAAACTCTGTGACTGCAAAGAAGACTCTGTGAAGCATCAGGGTTGGTGTGAGTGAGAAGAGCTGCAGGGATGTTCAAGGTAGAGAACAGGAGAAAAGCACTCCCTTTAGCTAAAAAGTTGAGCCTGCCGAAAGAAAGGAAGGAGGCTGATCAAAGGTATATCGAGAAGTGGAAAGACGGACGGCATGTGTTAAAGCCAGAGATATCGGACGAACGAAGTCCGACATTCGAAAAAGTGTTCAGAAAACAGTGACGCCATAGGGAAGGCGCAAGAGGAAGTTTGAAAAGTGTTAATAATAGAAAAGACAAGCAGATACCAAAGGTAAGAGGCTACCAAAGATAGGAACTGTAGTCCGCTTACCCGTGAATAGAGAAAAGGCGAGTATTCCGTATACCAGATCAACCAACGAGACAAGTGCTTCCCATCGGAAAGTTGTAGCAAAGAAAAATGAGAAATCGCCACGGACCACAGGAGTAGAGCGAAATTCGGTACCCACACAGGCTCAGTACAAGAAGTTAAGAATGGTACCGGAGCGTACGTCTCAGAGTAGAGAATATGCCATAGCAGGCGAGAGAAAGAAAAGAGGAAAGCCAAAATTTAAGGTGAACAAAGTGATTTGCTCCCACTTAGGAGGGGATGCGTCCCCTCCGCAGCCCGAACCGGCAGAAGCAACGCTGTCGAGGGCGCCGGCTCCCCGAGGGGAGAGAATGTGGAGATCAGGGGATCGTAGGGCGCGGCCCTGCGATCTTGGAGTGATCACCCGCCGGTGGTCAAGAGGGCCAAGGGTCCGCTATAAAAGGGCGGCCCAGTTGTTGAGTGACAGTTCCGTACTGGTCCGGCCAAAACCTCCCGCCGCCGTCTTCGCCGTCGTCGCCGACCAGGATCGCACTCACCGTCTCGTCAACGTCCCAAATTCGCCCACAACGTCAACGCCACCATACTTCATAATATTCTACTTCTACTATTATTACCTACCTGTAAACTAATAAATTTTGTTCTCTACTACTGTATTCACCGCAGATCACTGTGATATCACCGGGCCTTACACTACATGTGCTCGCAAAAAATTCTCCGCGTTAGTACCGTGATCTTCCGCGACGGGCGAATTTTTGTTATAACTGGGCTACAGCAAAGCAGTTGTGCTCATTCAAGAGAGAAAACCTAGTTCATAATGCCGTGTAGGACTCCGCTCTACGCTATGTCGGAATGAAGCTATTCCCAAATGTGAAGAAGCTAGTAGTCGCTCAAGATTCTGCGCGTTATTTTCTAGCCAGAAGCCGTCATGCAAGCTTGCTGAAAACTGTAGTGTATTTAGTAAGAGCCCGGCCCTACAACTTGAACCGCCCTTAGAGTTCTGCGAAAGATTATTTCTGAATGAAGTTATACCCTTTCAAAATCGTATGCAATGGGCCAATAGCTCCGAGCTCAATATGCGGTGCAGCCGCAGTAACTCAATGCCTTGCCTTCGAGTTCTTTCGTTTGGACGGCGTCATTGTACGGTTTTTCGGAGTCCCTCTTCCTGCATTACACTACTTCTTAGAAACAATCTTGTAGTTNAGTTACTTTTTATTGGTTGTATCGACAAACACACACATATACGAACTACATTCTGAAGAATTTTCACACACTCTGCAGTCGGGGGGGGGGTCTTACGGACACCCCTTTCTAGGGGCGTGGTGGTACTAATTAAGTACAAAATGAGGAGTTATTAAAAGTTAGTAGGTATTAAATGAGCCCTACAACTTTCCGCAACGTGATGCTTGACCCTGGCGCCGACGCCGTTTGCTGAATAGAAAGGATGCGTGGTTTAATGAATATGATACGATTATACGGAGAAAAAATCTTCATTCATGAAGAAAGCTTCCTGCTTTCGCTTCGAACTTCTCATCCCAACATTTTTGAACATTTTGTTTAAACAAAAAACTCTGACATAATAAATGATTAAGCATACAAAAACCGTTTTGAAAAGGCCTTCCATGTTCGGAGCGAAACCCTTGGTAAAGTGAGTGTACACTAATATGAGGTGTGAATGTGAAAAAAAAACCTCAGCCAGTGTCACGAGTATGACTGGAGCTTCAGGTTAAGGTAACCCACTCACAAGGGAAGGATGGCAGGTCGAAGTGGACACTTGAAATAAAATGTATACTGACCGAATTTTCCACGTGGATTACGAAACCGTCTTCCATATCTGCCGGGGACCTCCCAGGAAAGAGTTACGGATCTTTTTCCGTTTAGGGGAGAATACTCGCATTCAGTACGAATTGGCGGCGTAAAGCTTGAGCGATCGTAGCAGCGTGGCCGAGTGGTACGTCGTAGGGCTCACGAATGCGTGGTCGAGGGTTTAGTCCTTGATGCGTGTGCTCTTTTGCATTTTTTCGAAAGTGGTCCCTGTGCACTTCAAAGATTTTGCATAACTCTTGTGCCTGATAATGTCGTGACGTAATGTTTCTGAACTGATGGAGCCATTGCGAACGATTTCATGGAGAACATTTCTGGCTGAAGAGATTGTCATACGAGCCGAAAACTTCCAGCAGGTGCGAAAGCACCACCTTGGAACAGAATTTCCTTCAACACTACATGAACGATGGGTGGAGGTTTTGCCCATCTTGATCTCTAGCATGATTGCTACATCAACGCCACGTCATTTGAAAGCGTTTTCTAACTATACTCATCTTTGCGCACAACTTTGGCGTTTTCGGATTCGCTTTCCAGTCATGTAGTTGGAAAATAGTCATACTTTTTAGGGCAAAACATCCGTTGTAATGCATTTTTTTATGAAAAATATGCTCTTTCAATGAAAGAAGAAGTCAACAGCCAAAAAATGTTTTCCATGGAATCGTCCACAATGGCTCCATCATTTCGGAAACATCACTCGCGACATTATCAAGCACAAGAGTTACGCAAAATCGCTTTGAAGTGCACAGAGACCACTTCTGAAAGTGCAAAATAGAACACGCGAGGGTCTAAAAATTCCACCACGCATTCGCTATCTCTACAAGGTAACCACTCGGCTCTGCTACGATACCATAAGCCCTACGCCGCCAATTCGTACCGAATGCGAGCATTCTCCCCTAAAAAGCTCCGCAACTTTTTCTGGGAGGTCCGCAGCAGATATGGAAGACGGTTTCGTAATCCCGTCCAAAGACCTTTCAGCCGTATACATTTCATTTCACGTGTCGACTTCGACCTACCATCCTTCCCTTTTCAGCAACGAACTCCTTTTTGATAGGCACAGAATGTCGAAATCAGATAATCAGGTCCTCTGATTAGATCCCACAAGCAGGGCACATCGTTGGTTGGGGATTTCGGTCGAGTCTGTACGCCAAGTGGTACGGGCGGAAGGGTGGGGGGAATGGATATGTAGTACACATGAAACAGGAAAGACCACGAAAAGATAGCAACTTCTTTCAGAAAATCAGGAGAGGAACACGCCTCCCCCGCCCCCTTTACAAGGTCCCTGAAATAAGAAAAATCAACTATCAAAAGATTTTTTTTCTCAGCCCAAACGACTCCCCCCACTCCTAGCGACCAAATACGACTGCCTCTCTTGAATCCCCAACAACGATGTGCCCTCCCCACAAGGGGAACGATTCACCTGTTCATGTATGTTACTTCTCTTGAGCACGTTCTAGGTTTCGCTTCCGCCAGTCAGTGTTCCACGTGAGAGCATACCCCCATTGCTCAACGTTTGCACTTCTTCTCGTCCTCTGAAGATGGATGCTGGGTGCCAAACAATCGAAGTAAGTTTACATATATGAGAAAACAACAGCTGAAGTCGCAGCACCACTGAAACGTTTTATTTTTAAGGATATCAGAGTTTCCCAATGTCTTTCATCAGGTTGTGGGTGCCGAATAGTTCGAGTGTGTTGTTGTGAAAACAACACCTGCCACAACCGGCATGTTGATTCTTTCTAGATTCGTTTTCTTTGATCACATATCGTCATCATCGTTATTCTAGAATTTTTTACGCACTCCCAATCGGAACAATCACGCACATACCTTATTCGGTTTTTTATCACCTCTTTTCAGCCATGCCACTGTCGTTGTTTTTCGTTTGACTTGGAGATTTGTGAAGCAGGTTTTGAATTTCAATAGAGTATGTAGACCTGCAGCGGCTTACCCGGAGATCTTTCGAAAATGCTTCTGAGATCTGTTCTTGTTGTTTGTTCACAATTATTCCTAAATTATCATGGTCTTTCGTGAATCTTTCAATCATTCATATGGTTTCCTCATCGCAGTAATGCAATCCAAGCTTCTTTTCTAAATATCAAGTGCAAGTGAAACCGGTAGACTCCGTATAGGTGTTTCAACAACGTCCAGTTCAAGATGTTTTTGCTTCGCTGCGTCAGCTGCGTTGAACCATTTGTATCCATTGTCATTTCTCACATCTTCGTCGCACAAGCATAAGTGCAACAAATAGCAATGACATGTCATGTTGAAACCAGTCTTGCTAGTTTCGCGGTTGTTATTACTATACTTGTATATCTTGAGCATTCTAGCGGGTGGTGAAAGATCAAATATTATATAATAATGTGACATA